GAATAATGACTGTTAAATTTTATATACAAATTGTTGATAATTGTAAACAATTAGATTTTCAGTCAAATGATAATACAATAGTAAAACGTTGGTAAATTTTTAATTTGTATCATGTCTTTAGGAAAATTACATCGAATTTCCCACAAAGCAAATATGCTATTTCTATACCACATTGTAGATGTAAATACCTTTAAAATCTGCTCGTATTAGCCAAATTCATATAACGCGGTTTGTAAGGAAACAAATAAAAATAGTATCGTTATAAGTAATAACAAAACCGTGTGAAGTCTATTTTTGTATATAGATAGTTTTGTTTATATAAATTTCAAATCTTTTTAAATTAAAATAGTGACTTTAGTTTAAAGTCGTATTGTGACCAAATGTAATCATGATCTCAATACATTCCTACTGTTTTAAAAAGTTTTTTGTATTCGTTCTGAATAGCTTCTACAAGTGGAAGGCGATAGAATCCTATTGGTTTCCCATTTGCGTTTTTAGAATGTCTTTTCATTTTAAAATCTAGGATAGCTAAAGCTAATAATTTAAACCTTTTTCTGATTAAAAAACACAAACATAACAGGTTTAAGATGCACTAAAAATGTTTAAACAAAGCCACCATTTTTATTTTTTTTTTCTACAAGTAGACCCAGTTTTTTGACGTGAATTTGGCTAATAAACTTGAACTTTATTTTCTTAAATGGACATCATTTTGGTCTCAACAACCCTTCCCCATTGTCAATTTTTTTTATAAGTTGATATAGGTGCCCCAAGAAGTCTCTACGGTCTTATCACAGAACACTGCGGAAGAGCATTTAACAGGAAGTTCACGCCTCCTTCCCAACCGATGTCGCAATACTTGCTCAGAGGTGGGGTTTGAACCACGGATCTTACATTTTTGAGGCAAGTGCGCTACCACTGCGCCACGGCTGCTTAATTTGTCACCCCCTTGCCATTATCACCCCCTCTCTATTGTCAAACTTTTTAGTACCCCCTAACCCTTATATTTACTGACATCATTTATGGATAGTCCCTACTTATCCAGGGACCAAGATAACGGAATTCTACTGTATATAGTTGTTTTTTTTTATAAGCATAATGCTTATAGGCTCAGATTTGGAAAAAAATAAGCATATGTAACCATATTCCTGAGCCTCAATAAACCATTTAAAAAATTTTATTTTTATTTAAATAAAAATTTTAAACATATATATTTCTAATTTTAAACCAACAAAAACAACAAAAACCGAAGTTTATAACAACATTAATTCAGCTACATTAAAACCAAAACAAAAATACAGAGCATAAGTCAACTTTTTATTTTTCTTATACCCATTAACCTTTAGTAACGCGCACACTTTTAGAAATAATTGAAATAGGTATATTTTATTAGAAATATGCTTAAGCTTAAGCATATTTTTGAGCCTCTTTGTACTTTTTGCTTAAGCATATTAAAACTTGTTTTAAAAATTTCATATGCTTTAAAAAAAAAACATGTATATTCCTCCCCATCATTCTTACTTTTACTATACGTAATGAGTTCAAAAAACATCATTATATATATATATATATTTATTACGGAACGTTTCGTAAGTTTGTTTCCGTTAAGAACTCTTTCGTATGTTGTGATATAAAATACTTTCGTTTCGAAAGAAATTTTGTTTTTTATCAATATTTCTGAAAATAAAACCATAAAAATTTAATATGTTACTTTACTGAAAAAAAAAATTCATTACAAACATTTTGTGATTTAAATATGTTAATTTTTACAATTAAAATCAGTCTGGCAAACAAATTTTCTTCAAAACTTTAGACTTCAAAACGTCGTTTGGCAAAAATGCTTGATTCGCAAGTGCGACTTCCGAAACCGCTACTTTCGTATGTTGCAAAATAGTTTTATTTCGTATGTCAACTTGCGAAATGCTAAATTTCGGAGGTAGCATTTGCGAAATGAACATGGACGATTTTAAATGTTTTGTAATATTCAGTACGAAAAAAATGTAATTTCTCGTTCTCAATCTTCATACGAAAGGATGTTGTTTTTCCGGAGCTGCACAAAATCCTCCGGTTAACAACCCTAAGATAAACAAGATTATCAACAAAGATAATTTTAATGCAGTAATAAATAATATTACTATAATAAATAATTGGAATGTTGATCCATTTTTTATCCAAAACAGTAAAGAACTTATCAACAACAATAAAATGTTAGATAAAATTTGCAATATTGTTTTGTGATCTACTCCAGGTACTCCAGGTACTCCAGGTACTCCAGGTTTTTTCTTAACAATAGAAATAATTTCAGTGCTTTAATAAACATAACTTTAAAGTTTTCTGATGCCATTTTGTTTAAAACATCTTCAGGACCATTGAATACTGTATCTGACATTTTTAGATAAGCTTTTCTATGAAGAAGCAAAATAAAGTGAAAAAAAGATTTTATCCGTAGCCAATATTTAATATTAACTAAATTTCGAAAAAAAACTTACTGCTTGTTGATTTCAATAAACGTTTGTTTACCTGCCAAAATTTTGCGCTTTTTAACCGAAAGTATTGTATATGTCAATTATCCAATTTAGAGAATCGTGTATAATGTAATAATGTAAACATAATTCAGAGAATAGTGTATAATAATGTAAACATAATGCATAGAAACAATATAATGCGTAATAATTAAGTTTTTAAATTTATTTCACGCATAATGCAAATTATAAATGGCCATCGAGTTTTGATAATCGAGTTTTGTACTGACTATTTCAATTATATGATTGAATATTTTGCGAACTTCATGGAAAACCCGTCAAAATCCAAGATTCTTTAACCATGATAAATACCAACTAAACCCCAATCAAGAAAATATGTTTGATTTTTCTACCAGTTTTGGGATCCGTCCGGAAACCAAAACATATACCCGCCAAATACCCGTTCTTGAAAGCCCAGATAAAAACCATATGGAACCTGGTAGTCAATGTTGGCTAAATATTTTTTTGCTTGGTATCCTAGTTATGTTTAACATAGTTGTAAAATCATCTATAAAGTTTTTATGGAGCTCAAGCTCTACAGTCTCACTAAAGATTTTCGTGGTTTCTTTGTTCTTGTCTAAAAATCTGTACCACTCTCGTCTTCATTTTCATTCTCATCTTCATTTTCCTGTATTACTTATTGATTTCATCATTATTTGTAAAGAAGTTTTTGGCCTGAATCAAGTTCATCATACTTTCATCCATTCTTTTTCATTTTTTCATGGTCTTTATAACACTTTTTCAAAAAATTTTGTGTCTCTTTTTCCCAATTTAATTTTTTATCTCTCCCGCTAATTAGTTAAAAAGTCAAAATTTTGAGTTTTTGCATCAAAAACTTTATTTTGGATTTGACCGCTCTGAACAAAAATGATCCAGTTATTGGTTCGATAAAACCTTGCCTTGCTGTAGGCGGTATTTTAATAAGCTTCCCACAGTGCATTACTTAGTGTAAAACTGTAAAAAATTATGATATAAAAATATATAAGTTGTGTAGATACGGTGTATTCTCCAATGCTAGTTTTACACTATCTCCAATGACATTGGGGATAGTGTAAAACCGCGTAACTAGCATTGGATAATACCGCGTATGTATACAGCATATATTTTTGCACGAGAAGGTCAAAACTTTGTTTTTTTCTATTTCAACAGATTTTGAGCTTATTTTAGTATAAGAGTATTGTTCATGTTTTTTGTAATGTCAACAATAGATATTTGATGTTGAAATTATTAATATCCATGTATAGTTACGTGGTTTTGCACTACCCTGACGATATATATATATATATATATATATATATATATATATATATATATATATATATATATATATATATATATATATATATATATATATATATATATATATATATATATATATATATATATATATATATACATCTATGTATAGATATATGAATTCTTTAAAACTAGGGCCCTGCGAATCGGCAGTTTTTGTTTTGAATCGAATCTCGAATCAAAGCAGGTCTTGTTTCGCAATTCGAATCACGTTTCGAATCGACATTTTGAAGTCTAAATTAAAGCTTTTTTTTATTTAATAATACATATTTCAAAATAAAAAATTGTATAATCTATTTATTGATACTTCTTGCCGTGGTTAACCTTTTTAATGACCGATTAAAACGGTATTTAAGTATAAGTAATATTATTTCGATAGCGCCAAAGCGCAGAATATCTAAAATACCCACAACAAAAATAAAATAATTAAGGATTTGATTTTTGAAAATTTTCGAATCAAATCTCAAATCATTGATTTGATTTGATTCGAAATTTCGAAACTTCACAGGGCCCTATATAAAAACCAAAAAAAACTATAAAAATATATACATAACATAACATATTTGTAATAATGCTAACAATCCATCAAATTTATCAAACTTCAACCAATTAGGGGAAGTTTTAGAAACCTTCAAACAAAGTAATTTTTTGATTTTTTATCCTATTATATCTTGATACCATATCCAGGCAAAACATTAGGATTTTCAGTAAAGTTTTCTTTTTTTTTTGAAGTACCTTAATGTTATTTTACTAGAGTTTTTTTATTTGTTTTATTTGTTCCATCATTTTTTAATTAAATTTCAGTGTTGAGTAGTTTAAATACAGTACACTTCGTTTAAACACAACGTTGAATGAGCCTACAAGTAGTTTCATCGCAAACCCGATGATGATGAAAATATGAAAAAAAAAGATTTTTCGTATTTTTTCATTTAAATAAACAGTCAAGTAAACGTCTAGTTTTATGTCAACTTATTTGTTTTAAATAAACATTAATTAATAATGAATGCTAATTTGTGTTGATTTTGAGTTTTTGAATGAATATAATGTGCAACAAATACAAAATCTTTTCTTTTTGATTATTTGGCGGCAAGATTACTCCTATTACCAGTATTGTTCTGTTCAAATATTTATTTATTTTTTTTTTGCAATAAAGCATTAACTTTTATTTAACTAATAAGTTCACACGCAAAAAAAATTAAAAAAATTTATAAACCAGCTTTGTCTTGTCAATGCTGAAAAATTTAAATTATTATTTAGATAAAATGTTTTTATTGCGTAAATACGTTGTATTTTTTAGCGTCGTATCTTATTTGGGGGTTTACTCTAAATCGCAAATAAAAAATGGGGGATATGGAGCAGCGAATAAAATTTCTCCAACCATAAGTATAGAGGAACAAGAATGTCAAAGTCTTAACTTAACAATGGAACAATGTTGCAACATTGACGAGTTAAAAGAACTTTTATGTAAAAAAAAAATAATTCATGTTTGTGACTCTAATGTTATTAAGTCAGTGCCTAACGTAGTGCTTGCCTTTTTAGCAATGGTTGGAAACAGTCTTGTTATCTACTCTTCGATAAAGGATTGGACCGTCACTCCTAGATTTAGAAAATTAATTTGCGGACTGGCAGTATCAGATTTTATGTTTGGTTTGGCGTTATTGTTCTACAGTATACCTGGATTGTGGACATGTCGTTGGGTCTACTGGAAGCCTTTATGTAAAGTAATTCCACCAGTAATTTTGTTTTGTGCGAACTTAGGAATAGGATTTGTTGTTCTTATTGCAATCGACAGGTTCACCGGAATTATTTTTCCATTTAGTTTCTGGTTATCGAAAAATATAATCATAATGTTTTTTTTTCTAAACATTTTTTTGGCTTTTGGATCAGTTATTCCGACAATTCTATCTCAAAAAATAAGTAAGTTTGAGACGTGCATAGAGGAAATGCCTAAATACTCTCGAGGTTATAGCTGGTTTTTGTTTGTTGCTTATTATCTTATTCCAGTAATTTTTACCTCAACGGTTTACATTATCTTAATTGTGTGGTTGCGCAAGGTCCAGCTTAACACCAACGTGCTAAACGACGAACAGCAAAAAATTCGTCAGAAAGCAAATCGAAGTATTACATCAGTTTTAATATGTATTACTATTTTTTTTGCAATTTTTGTAATGCCCAGTAAAATTGTATGGATTATAAAGGAAGAAATTGGTTTCGCCCGGTTTAGTAAACAAGTAACAAAAAATATAAAAACAGTAGCGGAAGTTTTTTACAGTTTCCACGCTGTAGTCAATCCTTTGATTTACGCTTTTGCCGATGAAATGTTTCGTAAACGACTTAAAGTATTGTTTTGTTCCAAGATGAATAACAGACGAGGATTCAAATCTTCAATGTCAATATTAAGTACCCGAACTTTTTCTGCAATTCAACTAAGCACTCGGTCGTGATTTTTTGAGAAAAAAACGCGCACGTTAGCGCAGGGCTTTAGAGTTATATTTCATTTATTATATGCATAAAAACGAGTGAATTTATTTGTATATATATATATATATATTTGATTTTTGAGTTTATTGTGTAGGTGTATTTTTTCAAAAATTTATTTTTAGTTTAAAGTTTTTGTTATAAGTGTCTTATTCGTAAAAAAAAAAAAAAAATTGTTTTAAAGTAAAAAAAATTTGCTTTTTCTACATTTTCTCAACAGTATTAGTAAAATGATAAATTTTGTGGTATCATAAAATATAAATGTTTTTAGCGAAAAAACCCAGAACGAAGATTATTTTTAATTTTTTTTAAATGTTGTCAAAATCACAATCGCTTTTTCAAATATTAATAATAATATTTTAACTAAATACGTTTTTTAGGCAAAATGAACATTATAGATTAACAATATGATCTGTTCTGATCGTTTATTGGCAATTTTTTGTAATTATAAGCACTTTCTTGTTCGGAGTTCTAGTATATTTTGAGAAAATTGATGGATATATTGTGTTTTAACAACTATTTATAGTTAATATATATCAGAACCGATTAGAACTAGGATCAGTAGTAAATTAAGGAACTTTTTCAAAAGATTTTAACTAAATTCATGTTAACGCCGATGAGCGGGATTTAAAAACTCCAAAATGGTGTTCTTTAGATTCACTATTACGGGTAAAAAAGAGGTTTTGAAAATTGTATAAAAAAAAGAAAAGTTTCTTTAAGTTTCTTTAAATATACCTGAAGCAAAAAAAATTATATCATTTAAAGCTCTTGTTTGGACATAATACGCTGATAAAACCATGATAACTCCAAATAAAAGAATTCGAATCATTTGTAAATCGCCTTAACTACACCGAGTCCTTAGGTTGGTTTTAAAAAATCTATATTTTTAAAATATAGTTTGTACCAATTTTTATCATAAATGATAAAAACTGATATTTTGGTGTAAGTTTTCTCTTTTAAATGTGGTGTAAATGTCAAGAAAATGAGGATAATATACTATTAGACATCATTTTTAAATTTCCGCATTTAATTTTAATTTTAGATCTGGTTCTTTGCCCTGATTTTTTTAAAAAAAAAACATATTCATGTTGATAAACTTCATCATCTAATCAGAATATAATAAAAGTAGGGTTTATTAAATATTTAAGAGCAAAAGAGTGCTTATGATTATTATTGTCATTAAATATCATAACAAAATAACAAACAAAACTAACAAGGTTTGTTCGTGGCATGATCAGTGTCGATTATAATAAAAAGAGTGTTAAAATTGCTAGTAAATAATAATAAATTTTTTTCCATAATTTGTTCGTTACTAAACTTAACTACATAGTATTTATAGAGTTTATGACTAATTAAAACTATTTGTAAAGTTTATGACTAATTAAAAAGTAAAACAAAAATTAAACTTATTTTAAGATTATTCATCTAATTTTTTTCATAAATCAGTTTTAGTTATTGAAATAAAAACTATTGCTTTAAAATCTTTTAAATAATAATGGTGCTAATCAGTAAAAAAATTTTGACTTTCAGGTTAAATATTTATTCTATACTAAATTATATAACATAAATTAAGAAAAAGGTAATTTTGGACCCAATATTTATTGATAATATGTTAAAGACATTTAAAGCAGTGTGTATTAAAAAACGTGTTTTATTTACTGTAAAATGGAACATACAGAATATTGACAAGATTTTAATGCACACAGACAAACACAAATAAATGAAATTTATAAGAAAAAAAATTGAGCGTTTGTTATATATAATAATGTATAGCATAGATATAAATATATAATGATAATATTGCAAAATATTATTATATGAAATATTATTATATATTTCATAAATATAAATATATATTATTAATATTTCAACAATATTTTGACTTTGTATAATATAAAAATAAGTGCGTAAAGCATCCTATAAATAATAATATTATTTATAGACACATAAAAAAAAAAAAAAAAAAAACGGAAAATTTGCAAAGTTATGCAACTTCTCACGTTTTTAGAGCAAAAAATTTCTTTATCTTTCATACGTATACTGTTTAAAAACATATGGTTTGTAAAGTTATGACGTCATCATTATGACATCAGTTTAGAAATAACTTGTCTCTTTTTTGGGTTACCTAAGATTCTTTATTTGTATTTCTTTCTTTTATTTTTTTAAATCACCGAAACATTTATAAAAATACGATCTACATTCATTATTTTTCATTACAATTCATATTTTATCTCAATATAGATAATCTTAAACATTAGTTTTTTTTTTCTGTTTATTTGGTTATAAAAATACTAAAATTATTAAAAAAAAAAAGTTTTTTTTTTTTAAACTTTGAACTAACTTTAAACATATAAGAATTTGATAAACAACACGTTTTAACTTTCCATACAACATTTGAAATAACAGCTCAAAAGATTTAGTTAGGTGTGAAAAGGGGAAGGTGCGAATAAAATAGCTCAATTACGTTTTTAATTAAACTAACATTTTAAAAATAAACAACTAAAAATCTTTTTATCACGCCTACTTATTTAATATCTAATTTTTTATTAAGACTTATTATTAATATCATTTTAAATAAATGAGATGGAGTTTTATTTAGCTTTGTTTTTTATTGATTAAAACTTTTTAAAAACTCTTTTCAAGTTACAAAATTCAAAACATTTGAAAAATAAGAATAAACCTGTCCAAAATAATTACTGCGTATAAATTTTAAAAAAAGTCAAATACAAGAACAAACATGTCAAAAACAGAAGCAAACATGTTAAAAGCATGAATAAACAAGTTTAAAAATTCATCAGTTTATTTTATATTTATATTATATTTATAAAAACTTATCAATTTGTTTTATCATTGCAGAAACAAAATTACACAATTTACCTCTGGTATAAATATATATATATATATATATATATATATTACAGGGTCAGTCTGGGGAAAAGTATGGCGGCAAGGCCGCAGCAATAAGAGTTTATATATCAAAATATAGTAAATCTGGGGACCATGCCCCAGATATCAAGTTTTATTGGAAGAAAACTTCTTTTGGTAATATTATTAACTAAAAATGTTCTGTAGCTCGTATGGGCTGTACAAGCAACCGTGGTGTAGTGGTTAGAGGTCTGGTTTCAGAACTGGAGATTTTTAAATAAAAAATATCTACCTACTCTATCTAAACCTATCACCTACCCTATCTAAAGCTATTATCTTATTTACGGAAAATATGCATGTATCTAGTTTTTTCTTGTTAGCTAAAGCAAATACTAGTATAAATTAAGTTATTATTTGTCTCCCTACTTTAACTTAGGTTATTATTTGTTTCCCTGTTTTAACTTAGGTTATCATTTGTTTCCCTGTTTTAACCTAGGTTATTATTTGTTTCCCTGTTTTAACTTAGGTTATTATTTGTTTCCCTGTTTTAAATACAAGTATTTTGATTATTGTTTATTATGCTTATATTAAACTTTTTATTGGTTAATATTTTTATTAAAGTTTTATAGTGCATATTTGTGAGAGATTCATCTTTCCAGTTACTAATCTCTTTCTATCCTTTTTTATGTATTCAATTGGTGATGGTCTTCTTTTAAGATGATGTAATTTTACCACTATTTAGAACATAGTTAAGTGTTTCAACAACTTAAGCTTTACCTACTTCTACTTTCTCAAGTTAATTTTTAAAACTTTTGTTCATTGTTTTCAAATTTTATTGAGGGATACTGTTTTGAATGCGTTATTAATCAGTTTCGTCTTTTATCAGTTTTTTAAGTTCTAATTTTTAAATTTTTTTTGGTTTTTACTAATTTTTATTGAAATCTTGTTAATATTTTCTTTTTCCGCCTTCCATTATTTTTAAAACCATTAAAAAATAGTTTTCTTAAGGTCTCTATTCGATTCAGTTCTCTTTAACTAAAAATCTATACGCCCCATTATGGAGAAGTTTATAATTAAAATTTAATTTCTTTTCCGAAAATTAATGTATCACTGATAATTAACTTAATATATATAATACTTGAGAGTAATAACTTTTTTTTGTATGTATTTAGGTGCTCCCAGAAGTCCTTACGGTCTTATCATAGAGCACCGCGGGAGAGCATTTAACGGGAAGTTCACGCCTCCTTCCGTACCAATGTCGCTTGTTGGGCTAGAGCTGGCGTCGAACCTCGGACCTCTGGATTCTGAGCCAGAACTCTAACCACTGCGCCACGGCTGCTCAACAATGGTCTGTAAAAGTTGTTAGCTCATAAAAAGTTTCTAAATCTGTTTTATTTTCGTAAAGGTGGTCTGGCAAGTATGTGAAATTCCATTGAAACCGAAAACCTAGAATGTGAAACTCCAATGCGGTTGTAAAAGTATATCTATGTTTCTTCAAGTTGAAAGTTCTTCAAGTATATTTTATTTTCAAATGGTTTAAGGATGTTTTTAAAGGAATATAAGTTCATCATTCTTTTCGGAAAATACCGAGAAATCTATGAATTTCCGAGAATAATTTAACAGTCGCTTCTCATAAAAAATTTAAAGTCGCTTAAATTTTTATTACGAAAAAACACTTATTAATTCTGTGCATAATTTCTTTCTTAAATTGTAAACACTTCTGCCTCCTGACAGTATCTAAATTGGTTAATTATTAATGATTATCTAGTTAAGGTTATTTACTTTAAAAAGGCTAGGTAATTATAGTTTCAATTTACATCGTTTTTATGAACTTTTTTACGTAGCATAGTTGTACCGCACGTTTTAGATGGGCCAGGTGAGAAAAAAAAATTATCCTATCCTCTTATTTAAAAAAAAATTAAAACACTTTTTATTTAGGTGTGTTTCCTGAAATAAAAAAAAAACATAAGATTTATTTTTAAATGAATTAATAACTGTTTTTCAGCATTTTTAGCATTTCAGTTTCGTTTCGATTTTCAGCCTTTTTCGAACCGTTTACGTAAAAAAGTTGTATTTTTCTTGTTATTTTTTCTTGTAATTTTTTCTAGTAAATTTTGTTTTGTTTTTTATTACATTTCAAACAGCGTGTCGTTATAAAATATAAAGTTTACTTGATAAGAATAAAAAAGTAAATGACAATAAAAGCTAGACAAAATTAGATAAAAAAAAAAAAAGAAAGAAAGGACGCGGTTACTTGTAGAAGACCGTTTGGTCTTGTCGTCGATAACC